CAAGATCTAGGAGTTGGCAGTATTTTTGCCAGCTAGGTCTTGTATCTCAAGCGGCTGATCCGACCCGACTATCTGGACGATAAGGTGTTCGGATGTGGATGGATGAACGGTCTAGCCATCCACGCTCTCCAGATAAAGKGATATCCTTGAAATGCTTTAATATTACATCTAATTAATTCCRAATTTCTTTACAGGACTGGGAATTYCCCTCATTCGCAGGCGGTACCAACATCAAACTACCTGGTGTGAACACAGGAGACGTAAGGTTTAATCTTCCAGGTGGTGAAGTTAACATTTCAGGCAAGTGGTTCAACTATGGGATTATCTTCATTGTGATGATCCTGGACCTCAACATGTGGAAGAACCAAATATTTTACGAGCCCTTTGCTTACGGGCAATACACGGACAGTGAAGATCACATATACACAGTATGTAATCGTACCTGGCTTAGGAATGCAACGAGAGAAATGCTTACGTACGAATGGAGGTGGAACAACACCAACCCATGGACAAATGAAACCTATGGCTTAGAGGACCAGAGAACGAACTCCAAGTATATAGGGTACCCCCTCAGTGTTAAGGGAATCGCGTTCGGACCCTCCATTGCAGCATTTGTCCTCTTTGGGTTTTTGGCGAAGAAGTTTTCAAAAGATGACGAGGAAGAAAGGAATCGMCAGAAGAAGCCTTTTGTTGCCGTACAAGAAGAAGACGAGGACGATTGGTACGTTGAAGATGAAGTAGACGCGAAAGAGGGCTATAATAGGACACATAGACGCTCAGAGGACCAAAGACTAGCGGATCAATTAGACATGGATGAAGCTGGTATGGAATTAAAGCCGTTTAGACGAGCAGGGAGAGACCATAGCATAACAGACGAYAAAAGAGAACAGATAGAGAAYGTACCAGAAGGCAGCGACGAAGATAATGACGACGATGSCAAGTTGTCGATCGCTCAAATTGCGCGTTTCAAGGTGTATGGAAGAGCCATGACCCAAAAAAGGAAAATTACAGAAACCATTGCAGCAAATTCTCTTATCAGTCTCAACGATTCAGAAAACGATTTTGGCACTCCCACAAAACAAATCAGCAAATCAAAAACAAGTTTAACAAGTGGTCAACAAGGTAGCAAAGCGTCATTGTCTTCTTCTGACCACCCCTACGCCGCCAGAAACGACGCAAACAGCATGGGCTCCAATGACTCTGGAGAAGAAAGCGATGCACCGAAAGAGCTGTCTTTTGCAAACCTTCAAACTGACGAAGAGAGACGTCCCAGCAGGGGAAAAGAGAACTGGGAAAAACTGAGAGACAAAACGGCGATGTCGTTTGGGGATTTGTTCCGCGCCTCCAACGCTGAAGGGTCTCAARGTTCGTTACAATCCGTGCAAAATGAAGATGAAGGAGATCCCCCTCGTGGMAGGGGTTTATCGACCACAAACTTACTGCAAGTTCCAGACGTGCGTGGCAAGTCGCACAAGAGATAAGCACCTGGTTTGCCTGGTTTCRAAGGTTTTGGAACATTTCGATTGCTACTTTAAGAGTACTTCACGAAATGAGAATTGGAAGCTAAATGTGTAAACGAATTCTTGTTAAATCATGTGATGCAATAGACCTCTGAAGCTTTATTTAGGATTTTTTTAAAATGAAGAAGAGGAAACAATAGATTTAAGAATTTTTCACGGTCAAATGAAGCGACTCTGTCGACAGTATAAAATAGTCTTCTTGACGGTTCCCTGCTCCATCTTGAAAGGTAGCCGTGCCTTTACATCGAGGCGAGACGAACGTTGAGCGTGCAATGATATATAGAAACGTTCTTTCATACCTACAGACAATTATTCACAGGTATCTATAATTGCACGGTCAACGGTTGCCTCGCTTCGATTAAAGGCAAAGCTACCTTTCAAGATGGCGCAGGGAACCGTGAAGGAGACTACACTGGAAAAAATCGCGCGCGTTAAAGGTCGTAAACTTGAT